GCAGTAGAATCACTTGAACCTGGGAGGCAGAGGTTGCAGTGAGCTGAGATCACACCACCGCACTGCAGCCTGGGTGACAGAGTGAGACTCGGTCTCAATAGATAACTAAACAAATAAATTTAAAAAATGAAAGCAATGTAGGACTTGGGGGCTGAAGAGGTGGACCTGGGCGAACAGTGGAGGCACTGTATGTGGCTGCCTTTCCCCTGTATTCCACTAAGAGGGAGCCCAAATCCGCTTCGCCCACATCGCGGGATGAAGAAAACACTGAGCGGCAGCTGAGAAACCTGGATGCCTGTTCCAACTCTGTGGCCTTGGGAAGTCACTGGGCCTCCTTGAGTCAGTCATGAAAGGGTGGTAGATTAGATCTTCTCTAAGATTTCCTCCAACTCTTCAATTCTAAAATGTACCGCATGGGGGTGGAAGGTACGTCCGAAAACAGCTGCAGTCTGGCCCTGAAGTCGAACAAAACAACACCCAGGGAGAGGAGTGCGCTTGCACCAGGCTTCAGTGCAGCCACCGTGAAGGCATCACACACACACTCCGCACAGGCAGGGACTTGGCTTCTGCCACGTGACCCAGCTTCTGCTGGCCTTCTCCAAATTCAGAGTTCAGCCCGGCGGCTGGCCAGGAGTCCCTTGGAGACGTTTGGCGCGGGGGAAACAGGAGGCCTCACGGTTCCTTCAGTTCCCCCTAAGTCTGCAGGGAAGGTAGCCAGAAGAAACTCTGAAAGGTACAGAAAGCCGAGGGCCAGGGGTCCCCAGCTGCTGAGCAGCCTGCCATGGTTACCCAGCTTAACTGCGGTCACCCAGTCTCCTGCATGTGTCCGAGGTCAGCCTCGGCGGCTCCCCTGAGTAAGTATGTACCTGAGGCTCTCCCCCTGATGCTACTCGCATACCACGTCCACCCAGGAACCTGGCGTCCTCAGGAGGCTGCGCTTCCCCAGTGGGCTGAGACCGCCCTTTGATAGGCGGGGCTGGAGCCGGAGACCTCAAGGGACCACTAGGGGGCTCCAGACTCTCGGTGGCTGCGCGCGCCCTCTTGTGGCCATTTTGGGATGGGCAGGCAAAGTTTCAGAAGCGAGTCAAGATCGGACTTCTGAGAGGTAAGTAACAGTAACAGTTACAGTTACCATATCACAGTGCTTATTGTTATATTCGTTAACATTGTGACATTTCTACTTAACGGCGCTGTGCCCATAACTCTTCTAAGTGCTTTAATATGCACTGTACTTATTTCTCACAACAACCTACAACGTGAACACCATTATGTGTCTGTTGATGAGGAAACTGAGCACAGAAAGGTTAAGGTAGTTGCCCAAGGTCACACAGAAGACCAGAATCCCGCCTCTGAGAATTCTGGCTCCAGAAGCTTTGCTTTCACTCACCATTTTTGGGTTGTCAGGTGAAATACAGGGCACACTGTAAACTATAATTTCAGGTAAACAAAAAATAATAATTACAGGAGGTGGCTCACACCTGTAATCCCAGCACTTTGGGAGGCCGAGGTGGGCAGATCACCTGAGGTCTGAAGTTTGAGACCAGCCTGACCAACATGGTGAAACCCCATCTCTACTAAAAATGCAAAAATGAGCCAGGCGTGGTAGCAGGCACCTATAATCCCAACTACTCAGGAGGCTGAGGCAGAAGAATCACTTGAACACTGCAGGCGTAGGTTGCAGTCAGCCGAGATAGCACCACTGCACTCCAGCCTGGGCAACAAAGTGAGTGAGACTCTGTCAAAAAAAAAAAAAAAAAAAAAGTATATTTCATGAAATATTTGGGTCATACTTGTACCAACAAATGATTCCTCATTTATGTGAAATTCTAATTTAGCTGCATGTCTTGTATTTTTCTCTATTTAATCTAAAAACCTGCCAGGCGCGGTGGCTCAAGCCTGTAATCCCAGCACTTTGGGAGGCCGAGGTGGGTGGATCACGAGGTCAAGCGATCGAGACCATCCTGGTCAACATGGTGAAAACCCGTCTCTACGAAAAATACAAAACATTAGCTGGGCATGGTGGCGCGTGCCTGTAATCCCAGCTACTCAGGAGGCTGAGGCAGGAGAATTGCCTGAACCCAGGAGGCGGAGGTTGCGGTGAGCCGAGATCGCGCCACTGCACTCCAGCCTGGGTAACATGAGTGAAACTCCGTCTCAAAAACAAAACAAAACAAAACAAAACCTAATTTACAAGGCACTTTTCTCGGCCACATGCAACTGCACATATTACCTCATTTTTATATTTTTACTTTGTATTATTAGTTCAGTAGCTTTGGGGGAGGAGGTGGTGTTTCTCTAGAGGTCACATTACTTCATTTAATCATCCCAGGAAACCTGTCCTCAGAGGCCCCAGCATGTCCCACCACCTCCGTCTCTCTCAGTACACCCATTTAGAGAGCTGAAAGGACTAGCAAAGCTTCCAGAACATAGGTGGCAGAGCCGGGGATGGAACCTGCAGTCTCCAGTTCTGACACAGGTGCATGTTTTCCACTTTAACAGGAGAGAAAGTGAGGCGCCATGATCACCACCATAGACATGTCCCTTCGTGTCCTCCGGCCTGGTCTACTCGGTGTCCTGCAGCCGCTGCAGTCCCTCCTCCAGGGATATAGGCATCCCAGTGACGTCCTTCCTAGGCTGGGAGGGAGGCAGAGGACTGGAGACAGGGCTCTAGCTTCTGTGACCCCCCCTACCCCAGCTCTCCAGGGAGGCAGGAAAGAGGCTGGGTTCAGACCCAAGAGAGCCAGCTGTGAGGCCGGAGCAGCTGCTGCGTGGGGGCGCCGGGGCTCCGCAGGGCTGTTCACCTGCTGCTCTGTGCACAGCCAGCCTCAAGCCCAGCTGCTGTGGTTGCAGCACCTGCAGCTAAGACAGCCAAAGGGGCCAGGCTGCTGGAAGGCAACAGAAGGAATCTAAGAAACCAGGCGAGGGAGCCTCCCCCATCTCCCTGTTGCCTTTTGGGAGCATAGAGCTTCCCTCTGAGGGTAACACCCTTTGCATTTTTCTCTCTGGACTCTGTTCCTCTGCTTCCACCCCCAAATACTTGGGCCCTTCCTTCTCCACAGATATAAACAGTCCCCGGGCCCTCTCCGCCCAGGCTGACTGGCTCTAATAAAGCAGCAGTCAAGGGAGTTTCTGGGCTGGGACCCCCTCTGGGGTGCAGGCTGGGGTGCGCTGCTGGTATGTGCCCCAACAGGTTTTTCCCTATCAGCCTTGAAATCAGCCTGCAGCCTGTCTGACCTGCCCCCCAGGGAGCTGGAGCCAGGGGCAGGGCCAGGTCAGAAGCCGGACTTCGTGACTAGGTCTCTGTGGTCCACCTGGACCTGCAGGGAAGGCAGCGCACAAAGCCTCCTGTGTTTGAGGCTGAGCCGCTGTGAGGCTGAGCGGAGTTTACTCACATGGGTTGAGACCCAGTTCCTGGGAAAAGAGATGCTGGGCAGGAAGGCGTCTGCATGTGGGACTCTCCCGGTCCTCTCCCACGTCTGGGAGGGGCCAGAGTCAGACAACTGCTGGGCTGGTCCCCGAGACAGGTCCTCTGACTGGCTGTTCAGCCTAGGCTGCACACGCCCCCCTTTCCTCTACCAGGCCACACCGGAGCTGGTCCTCACACAGGCGAGCCACCAGGCCGTGACGAGGACACCCACCTCGCCCCTCGCACCTCTGGGTAAGCACTAGGCCTGCGCCCCATCCGGGAGACCACGTTGACTGCCTGGGGGAGGGAAGAATGAATTTTCCTTTGCCAACCCGAGAGCGCCTCCTGTCCCGTCCAGGCATCCACGTACTTGCAAGAACTCTTGTTCACATCAGCACAGAGACTGCACCTGCTGACCTCGAGGTTCCGGCCCCCGGCTCCGAGGGTGAGACGCAGCCGAGCAGGTAGGCAGCTGTGTTGGCAGCAGTTGAGCGCGGCCCGTCAGCTGGGGCTGCCGGTGGGGAAGATGCTATTTGGAGCTGTCTCCCACTCTGCAGGCTTCATCCTGCCAACTCACCTCAGCTCCCTACCCTGCCCCGGGAGACCCCAGCCAGGCCCGAGAAGGAGGGTCAAAGACCTCAGAAGTGGGGCATCTACCCCAGACCAAGACCTGAGGAGCCTTGGTGCTGACCCTGGCGTCGGGGAGGGCTGGCGCCTGGTCCAGGAGGATCCCACATCAATCCCCACTTCCTAAAGGAGCGGGGAGAGCTGGGGAAGGTGGGGGCTCCCCTCTTACCCCACCATTTCAGCTCCAGTTCTGGCCCCAAGCCTAAGCAGGTTGATCTTTTTTCTGCAGCAAGGGAAAGAAGTGACTGGAACCCAGACTCCAAGGTCTCGGGAGCGGGTCATAAGGAGTCCCCAAAGGGCTGGGAAATTCAGCTCTGTGGGCTCCTGTTCCTTCCCCAGGACAGCCAGTAGCACCATGTCTGTGAGTGGCAGTAAGATGGCACCATCCCTCACCCAGGAGATCCTCAGCCACCTGGGCCTGGCCAGCAAGGTTTGTGCTGTTGAGATGTTAGAGGTCACTTTTAACATCTCAGCTTCAGCTGTGAGAGGATGGGAGGCAGGAAGTAGGGCACAGGCCCTGAGTGGGGGGTGGGCATCCTGGTCCCTGCCGACCGCCCCGTGCTCCCGCAGACTGCAGCGTGGGGGACCCTGGGCACCCTCAGGACCTTCCTGAGCTTCAGCGTGGACAAGGATGTGCAGAGGCTGCTGAGGGCCATTACCGGCCAAGGTGAGCCCCTTCCCCTCCGCACTTGAGGCCGCCTGTTAGAGCCACTCTGTAGACCACGGAGGACCCAGGAAGGAGGAACTAGCGATGCTGGGGAAATGTTTGTGGATCGCCTTCGTTCTTGTGTGCCAGGCACTGCAGTAGGTGTGTCATACCCATTCTCACAACACCCCTGTAAGGCAAGGCTTATTATTTGCATTTTCCACATGAGGAAACTGGGCTTCAGGGAGATGAGGAGGCTTGCCCAAGGTCACTCAGCTCGTAATGACAGAACTGGGATTCTCATCTAGGTCAACCAATGCCCCCAAATCATTTTTTCTTACCACCACACCAGGCCACCTTTGCCTTGGTCTGGGTCAGATTTGCATGCTGTTTTTGCATTTTATTTGCAACTTCTTTTGAGATAAAATGGAAGGGGGTGAAATAGCCCATGCTCTTTTCCTTCCTAACCCTCTCCTGGAGCTCCTTCCCTCCTCCAAGGAGTAGGGGCATCCCAACTATGTAAAGGTCCTGCTCGGCTGGGGATGGTGGCTCACACCTGTAATCCCAGCACTTTGGGAGGCTGAGGCGGGTGGATCACGAGGTCAAGAGACAGAGACCATCCTGGCCAACATGGTGAAACCCCATCTCTACTAAAAATACAAACATTAGCCGGGTGTTGTGGCGTGCACCTGTAGTCCCGGCTACTTGGGAGGTGAGGCAGAGAATCGCTTGAACCGGGGAGGCAGAGGCTGCAGTGAGCCGAGATTGCACCACTACACTCCAGCCTGGCAACAGAGCGAGACTCCGTCTCAAACAAAAAGACCCTGCTCACAGCACAGCCCTCATCTCGGTTCAGGTGTGAACCACTGTGCCATTGTAGAGGTGCTGACTAACCGGAGCAGAGAGCAAAGGCAGCTCATCTCTCGAGCTTTCCAGGAGCGCACCCAACAGGTGAGACCACGCTGACCTCCCACAGCAGTGGACTGGGGTGAGAGATCCCCTGGCGGACTTGAGAGACAGCAACAGCCACTGGGGATGAAAACCAGCCGAATCTTCCCAAACCCCCCCATGCTTCTGGGCTCCTTCCCCACACACCCGTGCCCCTGCTGTGGGGACCATTGATTGCAGGACCTGCTGAAGTCCCTACGGGCAGCGCTTTCCGGCAAGCTGGAGAGGATCGTGGTGGCTCTGCTGCAGCCCGCAGCCCAGTTCGATGCCCAGGAATTGAGGACAGTGCTGAAGGTAGCAGGAGGGAAGACTTGCCCAGGTGTCTGGGGAAGGGAGAAAGCTGTCAGCCCTGCTTTGCCCACTCCAGAGTCCCCTTCTCCTCATCCCATATTGTCCCTTAGAAGGAGAAGCGGCCAGCATCTGCCCGTCTGTCTGCCATCCTAATGACATGGCCAGTCTCAGAGTAGACTCCCAATTTCCTGTAGGCCTCAAATTCTGCTGTGGATGTGGCCATTGAAATTCTTGCCACCCGAACCCCACCCCAGCTGCAGGAGTGCCTGGCAGTCTACAAACACGGTAAGAAGACGGAGGGAGGGGCCCCAGGTGTGGAGCGGGGTCTGTAGGAGTCCTCTCCTCTCCTGTACTCCCCATAGGTGAGCTATCTGGCAGCCTAGTTGCCTAAGTTCTATTCCCTTGTGGTCTTTCCTCCTTCCCCAACCAGTGCTGCAGTCTCCCCAGGGGAGAGAGCCAGTGGACCAGGGTGACAAACCCCCTGGAGGACTCAAGATCATTAAAAAAAGAGAAGCAAAGCTGGGCGTGGAGGCTCATGCCTGTAATCCCAGCACTTTGGGAGGCCAAGGCCAGTGGATCATGAGGTCAGGAGTTCAAGACCAGACTGGCCGACATGGTGAAACACTGTCTCTACTAAAAAATACAAAAATTGGCC